TTATCCGCCATTTGGACTATGCCGATGCCGTTTACTCAGACCTCTCGATTAATGTCCGTAACAAATTAGAGAGGTTACAAAATAATTGTCTGCGCTTTATTTTCGACCTGAAAAAGTATGACCATGTTACACCATATCATAATCATCTTGAGATGCTCACAGTTGAGGAGCATAGGTTCTTTCGCATATTAACCAGCTTATACAAGACACTTTCCTGTTAATCTCCAATTTACCTGTTCACTGTATTTCAGTTCGTGGCATCTCGCGATCTTCCTACTAGAGCACAGTCTGATGTCTCACTCATGTTTCCTGTTCATCGTACTGAAATATATCACAGATCATTCACTGTACAAGCTATAAGTCTGTGGAATAATTTACCCACAGAATTGCGTAATTCTCGTAGTTTTTCCGTATTCACAGCTTCGCTAAGAAATCATTGTCTCTACAGTCATCTGAGACTGATTTATGATGTCATCTACTTCTTCTCTTTTCTCTCTTCAGTTGACAGCTTTATTTGCTCTTTTCCCATCATTTTTCTCTTAATCCCATTTGCTTTCGGTCTTATTCTCTCCTATACTTTTTCTATTACTTGACATGTAGACATATTTTTTTTGTTGTTGTTTTTTTTTTCTATAGTTGCCATATTAATTATTTATCTTAATTCCATACATACATTGTCGGTTGGGTCTTTTTGAAAATATCCCCTCTGGCGATAAATTGAGTTAATGTTATAGAATAATGCATATTTTCATCACGCAATTTTTTTGATCGATGTTGGAAATATACTAGTTTTGAGCTTAGCCTTCAAGGCGCATTGCATATGAACATGTACATTTTCCAGAAATTTGTATCTTGCTGTCGGCAGCCGTGAAATCCGAACTAAAGGCTTTTATTGGCTTATTATACTTAGCAGGAGCTCTCAAAAGGAATTGTCAAAGTTTGGAGAAACTTTGGGGAAAAGAAGGTGAAGGTGTTGAAAAATTTTGGCTAGTAATGAATATCAAACGGTTCAAGACTTTGATACGTTGCCTTCGTTTTGACGATTTTACTACTAGACCAGAACTAGAAAGATGCAATTCTGGACGTGTTTGAAAAATTTGTGGAAAACTGTCAGAAATGCTATAGTGTCGGAGAGAACGTTACAATCGACGAAATGCTACCAGGTTTTCGAGGTAGGTTTTGCACTTGTCGATGCCAAGACAATTTATACACATGGAAATTTATTTTTCAACATGGAAATTTATGCTGGAAATCAGACTGAAGGTGCTTTTTGTGTCAGCAATAAGCCATGTGATGTAGTAAAACGAATGGCTAAGCCCTTATTTGGATCCGATATGGAGCTAGTCGATAATTTGAAAAGAAAAAAATTGTCATATGTTGGAACAGTGAGAAAATATAAAAGGCAGTTTTCCCCAGACTTTATTGTAGTCAAAGGAAGGAAACAATGCATTAGCAAGTTTGGTTCAGGTGGTGGGAAAACTTTAGTATCCTACACATCACGAGTCAACAAGAACGTGAACATTAATCCTGAATCTGAAGAGATAAAGAAGTCAGAGGTAATCACTTTTTACAATTCCATCAAGAACCGTGTCGATTCTTTAGACCAGATATGTGCTACCCACAGCGTGAGCCGAGCAGATTTTTCACAACATTGAATCTGGTAACCATTAATTTCCAAATGATTTACCTGGACAATCGATTGGATCCACTACGAAGAAGAGTATTCCTGAAAACGTTATCCCACCAGTTGATTCATGGAATCTTGAATCGAAGATGTGTGAAGACAGTTGGAATAAGCACTAACCTACAGATGCGACTAAAGAGGTTCCGTTCCGTCGGTGATGATTTGGAAAGTTCCACCCCTCCACCTCCAAAAAAGTGTAGGTGATCAACCTGTATTACTGAAACGGGTTTCAGAAGGATGACAAATTATGAATTCCAAAAATGTACAAAATGTAAATATTGGTTGAACTGCAACTAACAGACTCCGATTAAATTTCACCTTCTGAACAATAATTTTTTGGCCAGTTTTTGTAATATGTATAATATATTTTTACTAAGCTTTAACTATTATTGTCTTTTCCAAAACATTATGAAAAATAAATGCATTCTTTTACAACATTTCTTTAACCATATCTTGTACTTCAAAAATACATTTTATGAATTATCTATAGCATGTAAAATTACAGAAGCGTAGAATTTTCTTTTGTAATCTAATGAGTTAGATGGAAGAATTGTACATACTCCCGGTACAAATTTATCATCTATATCGAGAAAATCTTTTGAATAATTAACCCGATGTCTTAAAACCGAGACTCATGTTGCTGAATAGAAATCCTTAGAAATGTAAATACTCCTCCAAAAATCAGTTGAAGTAACATTTATTAGACTCCTAACTTACTATTTATTCGGTAATAACATCGAGACAACTCTGTATAGACTATATGTCAAGCCTGTATCGATAGAAGTCTGTATAAAGTCTACATCATCTCTGGATAAAGTTTTCACCATGTTTTTATCACGCCAAGTCTACAAGTTGGTACAGAGTCAAGTCATCATAAGATTTCATCTATCTCTATGAGGTCTGCATGAATACTGCACCTAGGAATGCTTCAAAACTCGTAACCTAAAATTTCCATAATTCTGTCTTTGAAGGCTGCATTAAATCTCGAATTAACATTCAGTCATACATGCATCAAATTTTTATCAAGTCTTCATCGAAATAGCTAAAGTCTGCGTCACTCTTGTATTAACTTCTATCCATATTTCTATAATATCAAATCTGTATAAAATCAAGACATCGTCAAATCTGCCTCCTCTGAACTCAATCAAAACAGAAACAGGCAAATTATTTCAATTTATGCCAACAATGAATCAACTGTAGAATTACAGTTTCAGATAAACGAGAATATTTATTCTAGTTACATCTGTAAAGCATTCTCAAGAATATGTGTGACCTTCTCTATCTCGAAAATCATTAACCCGTTTATGTTCACAGTTCCAATAATGGAACACCTCCGTTTTTTCTCCCCTCCACGCTTTCTTGTTAGTCACAACGTGATTTTGCAAGCAACACGGTTCCAGTAAACATGTTGATTAGTGAGAGTGATTGTTTGACGAATTATTGTGCCTTTAATGTGTAGAAATTTCTTTCATAAAAAATGGCTAGTAAAAGATAAGTGATATTTTCTATTTTTAAACTAATATTATCTATTATTTTGCGTTGTGTTTATTGCCATAACAATTCTCAACACATTTCCATATATCATCTATAATAATAAATACGATAAGAACAAAAAACACTTTTTCCCAAAAGTTGCAATATTGGCTAAACGGGTCCATAAAGATTTTTAATAATTTCAGACCCTTCACAACTGCAGAACTCATTCAAGTAATAGAAGACGAGGATTTTTGGGTCACTGGTGTTTTTATCATTCCTCCAGATGATGGTGCTGAAAGTGCTGAAGATAGCGGCAATGAAGACTTCTGCAACGACATCAATAACTGGATTGGCGACAGTTTCAAGCAGAAGCTATGAAGAAAATTACAAATCAAAGACGGACTTTCACAATTGGTGATAGCGAAACTGACGAAGAGTCAAATAGTGACAACGAAACTTTGTCAGAAATACAAAAGAAATTACCGAAAAAAAGAAACTGGCAAAAATCCGATCTTATTCCTGGGTTTCCGAACTTTGAGAAACTGATGCAATCAGCACCCATTCCTTCTGATCCGGTGGAATGTTTTAAGCTTTTTCTTGATGATAGTATTATATCATTTTTGGCAGAAATGACGACGTTATATGCACACAAAAGGGTGAACTTAATTTTCGAGTTTCCAATGAAGAGATAAAGTGTTTATTTGAAAGCGAATCTCTTGGGTATTTGATGCAATTTGAACCATACCAAGGAAAAAAACCAACAAGAGAAAATGTAGCTGGTACTTCAGCGGACGAAGAAGAAAATGCGACAATCATAAAAACAGTAAGAAAACTAACTATAAAGGAACCAGAATTTGGTGTAGGAGAGTCTGCTGTACTTGAACTGATAAAAGTCTTACCAAAACCAATTAGTAACTCATTTACAGGAAAAAGACATGGATGTACGGGAACTATCAAATGAAAAGGCATTATGTGACATAATGCCTTCAAAAGTGGTAGAAAAGAAGGAAAGAGGTTTCAATGACTATTATACAGATGTTACCAATAAAGTAGCCGTTACAAGATGGCATGATAATAGAATAGTTCTGATGGTCAGTACTTATGATACTACGCTTCCAGAATGTAGAGTGGAAAGGTGGACATCAACACCAAAATCTCAAAAAAATAAATTAATTCAGGCATAAACGGGTTAATCGAGAATCACGATTCAGTCAATGTAAAAATTAAAATCTGTAAACTTTCTTTTTTACATTGACTGTAAAAATTAAAATCTGCAAACTACTAAGCCACTAATTAAAAAGCTATAAATTATTGAATTCAAATCAGTTTATTTCGTAATATTACTGCTTTAGTTCCTTTGTTTATGTCGTTAAAATGAAATAATAGGTACATGATATTCGTTACATAACTTTGTTAGAATAAAAAAAAATCCGAATTGTATTGTTAAAAACCTGTACAAAATAATTATTAATATTGTTGCAAATAAATGATATTTATGGTGGACAATTGAAAATAGTATTTGATATGAAAATGTTGAACAAAGCTTTAATAAAATGAGCTTATAAAATAAATGTATAAAACAAAATTTTATGAAAAACGACAAATTTATCATTTCAGTGCTCTTCTAAATTTAACCGTTAAACAATATTTACAAAACCATCGAAGCCGGGAGATTTTGTAATATTTCGTGTGTTAATTTAGTTTTCATTATATACTCGGGGTTTGTTTATGGTATCTAACAAAAGTAAACACGCTTAATAAATATAAATTAACTTGAATTTAAATTATTTGCTTTTGATCATAAACCTCAAAATTGTTAAAAAGTTGCTATTATACTTACATTTAACATCAAGTTGTACCGCATTACTTTCACCATCTCCTTCTCGATTGCTCCCAACACAAGTGTAGAGGCCTGCTCTTGCTCTAGTGACGGATTGAAGTACTAGGCTTTGGTTGCTAACAATGGTTCCGGTTGCTGCGTTATTGTATAAGGTTTTACCCTGAGAAACAATGAAAAACAATAAGAAACGATTGCCTCAAGTTTTGGGGAGCGCGGCGTTCACTTTAAGAGTAGTACCCACTTCAAAAATAACAAAGACAACTTACATTATGCCTCCAGCTGACTTTGTAGACCCACGGGTTTGATTTGATGTTGCACTCAAAGTAAACGTCGACGCCTTCTTTAATTATGCTCCCGTTCAAGTTGCTGCCGAGCTCAAGGGACACCAACGGCACGTCTGGAAAAAGAAAAAGGCCAACAAAAAGCCAGTTTATTACATGTAGCTTAATTAGCTTCTAGAATCGGGGAAGGGTCCTTTGTTGGGCCGTTTGTCTTTTTTATTTGATAGCCGCGCCCTTCCCAAATAATGGACGGACAGCGAACGCCTTAAATATTAATTAGCCGTTAAACTCCGGGAGTTAGTTAATTCGGAATCCCTTCAGAAATGTATGCTAACGAAATAAAATTGTATTCATTACAAAGGAGGAACGGAATCGTAAATATTTATTTCAAAAATGTAATAAGGTAAATCATAAAATTCGATTTTTTTTTTAATAAAAAAATCTTTATGATAAATTTGATAAACAACGCGATAATGTGAAAACAACGGCAGGAAGGAGCGGACAGAATGATGATATTAATGCGGATGCCGCTTTTTGCCTGCATTAAAATAATGTACTTCTTGCGCTCGCCACGAAACACGAAAATGCTTTCCCATGAAAAAAATACGTTTGCATTACACTATATTAGAAGCGCTGCAGAAAATTTACTAATAGTAACCTTGCTAATTATAATAACACCGCATTATACGGACCTTTTATTTTTAATACTTTCGTAATTTTATGATACCTAGTAACGTGAGATTTTACTTTTAGTTGTAATAGTATAATTTGAGAAAATTACAAAATAAAATATTTGAGATATATAATTTTTAGTCAATTAAAATGTACACCTCACCTCCAATTATCAGGGACAGAACTCCCGACACTCACTTCCAAGTTGGTTACCCGCCATACACTGACTAACCCTACAGTGGGAACCAATCCCAGTGTGAAGCAGGGTCAAGGCAGACGAGAGTGGAAGTAATGGTCTCCTGACGAATAGGGAGTTGGGCGCAAAGCCAACAACCTACTTAGTCCGTTAAAGCAACACGGGTTATGAAAGTTCAAAGAGAGAAAGCCTCAATTCTATCTACTGATTGCAACTTGAAATGTAATTACTCTGTAGATCCTGGGCGTATTTAGGAACCCAATGAGACGAACTGACAAATGAGAAAAGATGGACGGGCTCTGGAACGCTGAAGAAACGAAATCATACGATTATTATGGTTATAGCTCATGTAAACACATAATGGGCACATGCTTCTTAACGCTAAAATAGGAAGGGAGAACCAATACCTAGCCATAATACGTAAATACAATCTACACCACGAATCCAACGATAATGGCACTAAACTAGTAAACCTGGCAACCTCTCTCAATATGGTCACTATAAGTATGATTTGTTTGCAAAACCATCCACAAGGAAAACGTGGATATGACCACATAGCCATACTGTCAACAGTGTAGATCCCTTTATTCTTGTTTCAAAACACCAATCCGACAAAATAGAGGTCAAAAATAAGCGAGGTGCTAACGTCAAATCTTACTACCACCTGGTAGTGTAGTTAGGACAAAAGAACAAGAATTGCAAATGTCAAAATGACCAGGACATTTGTCAAAACACGAGACATATGGTTTAGGATTTGAGAGAAAACCAGCTATGGACAGAAATAATCAAGCCTATAGAACTACAGCAACGTAGAACCAGTACAGAGCATGGAAGAAGAAGTACTTACAGACTGAGAAAGAGAGAGAGGTGATAAACGGTGAACTGAAGGAATTGGAGTAATAAAAGCTACAGTTGGATATTCTATAAGAATCGAAATAAGAATAGACAAAGAGAACTTAAGAAAACAGATAAAATCGCCGCGAAACTAATAAAAGAAATAGGTATGGACATCTAAGCGAATACCTAAAGAATGGAACCTTGGTATAATGCGTGGAAAAGAATGTTGGTTGTTACAATATAGTAAATGTGGAAATCCTGGGAATCGACCATACAAGGGAATTAAAACAAAGTTGTCCTTTTTTCCTTTAACCGAGCTTTCCGAATAATTTTATTCTTTCTTCAGGGCAAAACTAATACACTTAAAACAAAACAAAGGCCAAGACTTACAATTAAAGACAAATTAAAATTGAACAATACTTACAAATACTCAGTTCAACACTTCAATACTTAAAAATATGATAGTAAACAAATACATTATCAAAGTTACAAAAATGTAGCATTTCTGAGGAAGGATAGAGATGACCCTCTCCTCACCCCTCTACTGTTTGTATGAATGAATCAGAGTACATAAAAAAATCTATTAGTTTGTTTGGCGATCAGTCCACATAGACAATTTTAAGTAAGGATCCTACCTCCACCATACAGAACAGAATTAATAAATTCTCTAAGTTACTGCTAGAAAGGGAGTACATTGACAAAAACACTTATATGAGATTGATTTGTCATAATGGTGTAGCACCCAGATACTACGGACTTCCAAAAATTCACAAACATGACTGTCCCTTGCGCCCTATTATTTCTTTTGTTGGTTCACCTACATTTTTGTTTTATTTCCCATGTATGGTCGATTCCCAAGATTTCTACATTTACTTGGTATAATAGTCCCATTACACAAGAAAGACGATCAACTCCTGTGTTTCAACTACAGAACAACCACATCAAATCATAAGTAATTATCAATGCGGATTCTGCAGGCAGAGGACCCCACCATGTTTATTGATTTTGAGAACGCCTATGACAGCATCTCCAGGAAATTTATGATGAATGCCAATATGCCTACACAAGTAATTTTGCTAGTAGAACAAATACTGAAGGCGGAAAATGCAGTACGAATTAAAGGGTGATGTATTATTATACATATTCTCCAACATGATCATACGAGATACTGGCATTAACAAAGACACAATTATCAACAAAGCAAACATTACGTCGAACAGAAACATGCTTCCAAAACCTTACGGGCAGGTTTGTGGAAGACATTTGGAACATCATCGCCAAAGAAGTAGATGAATTTTTAGAAGTAATAAAACAATCTGAATGCACCAGACATAAAATAGAGTAATAACATATAGCTTTACTATGTTGGTCTCGTAAGCTGAAGGGAACAGAATAAAGCCAAATAAAAAAACAGCTCTGTGAAACCTTTTAACTCCTGCTAAAAATTGCTCGATTTAGATCAACAGGTACTTAAATCATCAAAATTTCAACAAGCAAATGATGCAACTAAGCGTACAGCATAACCCAGAGTAGTGTTGAACATTTATTTACTCCAATAAAATCAGCATGAAAGCAATACATTCTCATTGGTTTCTTTAACGCATACAATAAATGTGAATGAAAGTTATGGAATCATGGCTTGGTTGCTGGGGTAATTAGATATAAATTCCTTCCAATAATTTAGCTTTATATGGAACTCAGAAATAATTATTATCTGCAGGTTCTAGTTGTACAGGATGAATCATCATCAACACTGATATAAAAGGCGATGATACGATGTGATAATTATTTGTTAAAGGTTACATACTTTCTCTTATGTTATTATTTTTTTTCTTAGAAAAATATGTTTACGTCAGAAAAATATTAAACTGTCGTTGACAAAGCATCTTGCCCCAATTTCTATTGAAGCGAAGAATGCGTTGCCGCACGTTATTTACGAGTAATCTAATACGTTGGCGCCCCTTGTTTATTCAGGATTTCTGGATATTTCCGCCGTTAAATTGGCTGTAAACATGGCGAGAACGATGTCGTCAACGCTGCCGTTTCCACCGTGGCAAGCCCTTCCATCTAACACTCTATTTTGTTTATGTAAATTTTTCGATCTACTATCCAGGCTAAACAAAAACAGACGCGACATTGTAGAGGAAAAGATTTAGGCGGAGATCGCGAAGTGTCTCCTGGGACATAATCAATAATAGGATTACGGCGGAGCAGCTGTTTTTGCAAATGATATTCACCTACTGAAATCCGGGGCTCTCTCGAATGCAAATCTTGAAAGCTTGTTGATCCGACTGGCTAATTTAATTATAAACCAGTGTGGCGCTTGTTTCATGAATCTATATACTAGGAAGTACAAGCAGGGTTTTATGTGCATAGAAATTCACATTTTTATTTTTTTTTATTGGAACACTAGAAATGTAGAAACTAAACGAAAAGGGAAATTAAATTGAAAGCTTTAAAGAGCAAAACGAGATTTCAGAACATACATATTCGCGAATTTCATTTGTCTTTCTCCCTTTGCTGTTCAATTTTTAACTCCCTCGTCCAACGCCAGAGTTAATTAAATTACTACCGAGAAATTAACATTCAACTCGTGTGCAAGTGCTAATTTTGCTCATATTAGCAATAGGTTTCAATTAAGAAAGACGTCACATATAACGCGTCGAGTGCGGACTGTAGGTGGTGCTGAGAATATTAAACTCTGCTCCCTAAGGATCCGTAATTATTTCCGTGTCACAGAGCGCGCTGACCGCTTCATCTGAAGCTGATACGAACGTCCTGTGTAAATTAAGCCGTATCTAACCACACGGTCGCAACTGGAAACTAACGATCTAGCGCTAAACTATATTTGCGGTTAGTTATTGTATATAGGTGTAGACCAGCGTCACAGCTATGAGATCTACCACCCGACCGTGCTGCCTTATTACAAAAGGCTATTTCACGGGGAGTTTGTTCCGCTTCTCGAACCACAGGCTTGGATTATATGAGATTATGAGAAATCCGGAGATAGAATTCCGACTTATGACGTAATTCTATGCAAATTGTTTTAACCTATTTGCATCATTACAAAAAACAACAAAGTGTAATAACTAGTGTTTGTTCTTTTAATTCAATAAAAAATATACAACAACCTCACACTGAATATCAAGTAAATCTAGAGTAACACTAGACCAAGAACTAGAAACATTTGGGATTAGTCGTCTTAAGACATGTAGGACTATAGCGGAATGTTTCTAGTTCTAAGTCTAGTATTCGTTTCAGTGATAGTGGTTAGTTAGCTAGTTTCAGTCAACTGCAGGGTTAAACTGATATTCAAAATGCATTGCCTTAATTAATTGTTTTATTGAATCGATGTATTTATTCATTATAAGAAGGAAAATATTCGTTACAAAAATTCGTAATATTAATGTA